CTATACCACTGTACATTTGTGAATATTTCACATGACACACGCTCAACTACCGTCCGAACAGTTCGTCAATCGTTTTGGCCTTTCATGCTATTTCCCAGTTCACCTGCGACCTGACCATCACATGGCTGCATCGAAGGTCTTCAAAATATAACCGAAACTCGAAAGTGCTGGCAATCAGTATGACGTTACTGATTCATTATTGTGATCATTACATACACCTTAGCTAGAGGTGGAAAACATCTCAGCTACTGTGCCACAGTACATAAGAAAAGAAACATACCAGTAACGGATGGGCATCGTTCCGGTAAGCTACCAACCAGCTACTATGCAGCAAAATAAACATTATTAAGCAAATTATATTATGCTAAGAAATGCGATCGCGATTGGATGGGGAGAGTCAAGGAAACTCACAACACAAATGCCACTGAGGTCGGCTCTTAGCTATGTCGGCCAATGTGCATTACTAATTGCGGTATTCCGGGCGGTATTGTACCCGCGAAATCAACAGGTAGTTTATGAGATTACCCTGGTTTCGCTCTCCCAACTTTGATGTTCACGCGTGTTTTCATCCCTAATGTACATTCATTACTTTATTTTTCAAATCTATTGCGTGTGACTGGGGAGGACGACCGAAATGTGGACATTTCTCTACCATTGTCTTCTGTTCGCGTTGGCCAAGTGGATAAACGGGATACAGTGTCTTATAAATTTCATGTCGCAAATATTTTCCCAGCCGTGTGTACGTTATGTCAAGCTCTCAATTGCCAATAATAGAGATGTGCATCAGAAGTACTTTATGTCTCTCGCTGCTTTTAATTGCTGGTTCCTATCGGTTTTCCCGTACTCTGACCTCTACCGAGTGACAGATCAATAAACATGGAGTCCAGGGACGATATTTTGCTATCGGGGTTGGACCAGGCCTTTGTACGGGCTTTATCAACAGCATGACGCTGAACGTTCTGTTTCGTATTTCACACTTTTCCAGTGCAAAGCTGGTACGACTTGACACGTATCGCATCATTCTCACTCTCAAGCTACGTACGAACCCCCTTTACTCGGTATCTGTTTTCGTCCGTTGCACATTTGCCGTACAACATATTTTCCTTATATATTTGTCCTCGAATTTTCCACTTAACATAACCGTTACATACTTTTTTGACTTTTTTCGAACTGGTGCAAGTCACCATATTTCAACACCAGTTTACTCATCAGGATAAGTTATGTTGCTTTCTCACCCCAAATTCATTGCTGTTGGTCCACTACCGCACTTTGGACTTTTGTTCCACCATTTATAGATTATCTGGCCAGCCTCCGTTATTTTTTTTACATTCTTTTTCCTGCGTATTACAGTTACGAGTATACTGCAGTTTCCTCTGTACACTGCACTATACCGGGATCCAGTGCATCGCTGTTTGTATATTTTGGCGATGTTGCTGTGCAACGCGTACATTTCCCCACTTAATGGCATTTGTATGTGTTGGTGTTTCAAGCACACATTCCATTAGTGAGGTTGTCCTTCCGAACCGCACATTAGCCGATTGGCCACCATACCAACCGGTAGCGGTGGAATTGGCTGTGGTGTTGTGTCAGGATTTCACATCTTATTTCACCTGTGCATGGTGTGTACTCTTGCACGTATGTGTGTGTGTGTGTGTATGAACCGATCGCTGAGGTCACGAAAAGCTGCATTTCCCATCCACTCGTGCTTCCTTTTCTGTATCAACCCTTTCCTTCCATCGCCCTTCAGGCGATAAACCGCATTGACTTCGATTTTCGTCCACAAGCACAACCATCATTTGACATTTTCCTCCCCATCAATCTATCCGGGATTTCGTTGTGATGAATGGGCATCTACTTTCTCTTCTCCCTCTGCGTGTTTGTGTGTGTGCGGAATAACACGCCTTTGTCACCACATAGTGTAAATCATTAGCAAATCGTTTGATCGGTGCTCTGCAAGAGTATTTGTATACACATTGATGGCACATCGATCGGCAAGAGCTATGCTGCCACCTACTATCATTGCTTTCGGGCTAAAGGTTCACATCCACGGATGCTCGCTATATTTTGGAGAATTTCTCGCACATCACCCCACTCTGTCACCTCCATCCGTTCCAGTGATTCACTCATTGCTGTCCTGTAATCCTCCTCGTCAATCTGGTAACACTTCAGCTGTTGTGTCGAAATACAATTAAATAGTATGATCGCCTCTTAGTACGTAACAAGATTGAGATCGTGATTGAATAGAATGCTAAGCCAAACGGGAAGGTACTGGGAAACTCAGAACACTAACACCACAGATCCGCTTTGCCCATGTCAACACGAATCTCCAACCAAACATGTTCACTGTCTATATGACCCAAAGCTCTGAGTCCGCGGGTCATCAACCGAGATCCATTTCCAAGTTACAGCTTCCATTCCTCTTGATCAAGTCGTCGTAGCTTGGCCTCCCCCTTCCTTTCTTCCATCCACATTCCGGTAGCGCAACGACGCGCGCCCCGGACGTGACGCATGACCTAGTCATCAGATGTTGGTGCTTGAAATGTTAGTGGTGAGCGGTTCACTTGCATTTCTTACACTATAAGTATGACGATGAAATACTCATTGTTCACAAGTTGGTCCTCCAATAACCAGAGTGAGGCAGCCCCGGACGTCCAAAGCAACTAACTCTCTCCATCGGTTTGACCAGGTTTCGCAGCCATACGGTGGAGTTTAACGTACTGCAGTGTTGTAGACTCTACTTTTCCAGGCGAGGGTGATGTCGCGTCGGTGCCGTGATTGACTAAGATGAGCAAAATCGCCACGTTGTTGGGTCTTGAAGCACCCGGCATTTGAACTGGATATTTTTGTAGCTACTCTTTCCCAAAATGGCACTTCACGACCGATCAGTTTCGAGCTGATTTGGACTCGTCAAATAGTGGTAGTCTGAATTGAAATGGAAACCCGACAGTTTTTTTGACAGCTTTCCTCGTGGTCACTAAGTCAGTAGTGCTGCACTAGCAACACGACACAGCAGTTTCAAGTTCATTGTTGGGTCTTGGGGTACTTGCCTTGTGTTTCAGCTGTTCGGTTTTTAACCACATTATTTGATATAACTGCTTTGGTAGTTAATTTTCGAACGACTTCTATCTGACCCCCCCCCACCACCACCAAAAGTCAATGGAGGAATTTCTCCCTATCAATCATTTTGACAGGTAGCAACTATTGTCACTCACCTCCAGCCTGTCTAGTGCTGCTTGGCAAGTTTCTAAGCTATCACATATTAGGATAACGTCGTCGGCATCTCGAAATCGATATGTCCACACTGACTAAGCCGAGTGCTATGTATGCAGTTTCGATAATTTTGTTGGCTCTACGTCTAATTGCTAGGCTGTTGAGGTTACATACATACGATAATTTTACTAATCATGAAGTCACAAAGTAAAGATGACAGCGGGATTCCTTGTCTCCCACCGTTATCAGCCTTCACTCTGCCCTAGCAACATTCACAAAGCGCTTATACGATATTTGCTTATATGTAGATCGCAGTCCCTGACAAACAGTCCCAAAAAGCGCATTGATCCACCGAATTGAAGGCGCCTTAGATGTCGACGAACATGACTAAGGGAGGTCGCTAATATTTATAATAGTGCTTCCACAACTGGCGTATAAGGGAAATGTCAGTGCAGGCTATGTTTCGATAAAACCCAGCTTGGTTTTTATGAATTTGGATTTCGTGGGTGTCATTCTGACTGCGAAGAACGATGGAATCGTGGTAGAGGGAATTGAGATTCAACTGATCTATCTTTATCTCTGCGCTTCAAAAATAAGTCCCGCTGAAAATCGTGACCTTATGTCAGTTCTTGTACGTGTGGACAGTTTCCTTTTCCTTATCTTCGCTGGTAGATTGTGAATTTTGTCTACGTTAGTTGATTCCCCGAAGTTTAATATTGTTGGATTAAATGCATCCGGTCCTGCGGCCCTGTTCAAATTCATCAGCCCGATCTCATCATCTTCCCCTTCCCCGAGCGGTTACGAATCCAAAGAGACATCCAGGGGAGCAGAGCCGTTACTGAACCGCACGGAGCCGATAATCTTAGTCGATTAAGTTGCCTTTCGAAGTGCTTACTCAAACGCTTCAATCGTTTTAACATAGGTATAAACTGTCCTTTCTCATCGCGTGTAGCTTCGCCGGCACCATGATACTTGCTTCCCGTATGAAACGGAACAGCTCGTGGCTACTAAGTGCAGCGGCTGTTTCTATCTCCGGCGCAGGATAGGACCACCATGCTTCTCAGCATCTCTAAAGGCTAGCACGTAGTTTTATCCTGAGGTCTGTACGAGTGACCACATGTTTACTTTCAGCGGGAATGTATCCATAACCGTCCAAAAATTCCAGTGACTGCGTTCGGTCTTGTTAAATGGATTCGCAATCGGACTTGCCACGATTAGTGTCATTTGTGGTTGCTAATGTCGCATTCATGTGACCACTGAACTTCTGTTAGCCTTTACTCAGCCAGGATACCAGCGTACTCTTATGGGTTTACAGCACATTTGGCTTTGCCAGTTGGCGCGCCGTGCAAATAGTACCCAGCGATCAGATTGTCGGAGCCCGCGCTTGCGGTCCAATCTGATTGGCAGTATGGAACCCAGTTTCGCCGGTATCGGATCCCGATGTGATCGATTTACCCATGGATGTTTCGGAGCTGGTGCGAGCCATGTCGCATCGCTGTAGGTGCTTTGTCCGAGCTCACCGCTTGCGAGAAATAAACGTGGGTCTCCCCAAATATAGCAACCGCTCACTGTTATCATTGCGTGAGTCTTCACCATGTTAACCTCTGAATTTCTTTCAGATGACTCATTCTTAGCCACTTCAAATGAACACCACTCATCGCATAGGGAATACATTTTCTTCCAGGTGATCATTATCAAAAAATTCTTGCGGAGTAGCTCGCTCTGAAGCTCATGATGTCAGTCGACATGTTCCCCTTACTTTCCTGCTTACTCTGCTCTGTTCCTTTCAGTGTACGGATTCGCCAGCTTCCGTCTTCCCAGATGCTAATGTTTCCAAGGGCTCCACTGGTGCGAACAAAAAGCGTAATGTGTTTGCCAATTTGTTCACCCGAAATAAATCAAAGCATCGTGGCAAACCTACTTCGCATCATCACCAACCATCATCCCGCCCTGCACCTCAACCGTCACTCCCAATCGCTGACTCCAGCGAAGGAAACTGTGATTGCTCCGCGACTGTTGATGTCAACCTGACCACTGCTTCTTCTGCGGACACAGCCGGTGAGACGGATACACCAAATTCTTCGGACCCGGGCGTCTGAGATAGCGTTCATCATCAACCTGTTCGCAGTATTTGTTGCTCCTGTCATCCCCATCACCTTCAGCTTAATGCGTTCCGCCTTTTCCGTCAACTTCGTGGCAATCAATACCATTTCTTGATCTCTTCTAGGGGGTCGTACGTTGTATCCTTATCATTGACTTCCGGCATTTGGTTGTGCAATCATATTCTCGAGCGCATTATTCTTCCAACCTTGCCAGAATCGTCTCTTCATTTGTCTCGACCCATCACTAAATCAGATACTTGTCCTTTCACGACTTTGTAGAAAAATCAGTCTACCCTACTGACAATTTTTCACCCTTCTCATCTCCATTTTTATATGTCCATGTAGCAACGTACGTCTATGACTTTTCTCAAACTTATCTCCGCTCTTTGTGATCATACCTCGACCTTGGTACATTGGCCTATTCCGTCCATTGTATCAAAGTGGGAACCATGTGTCCTTCCAGAATGTCCCAATCCGAGTTGCTCATCATTTTCACTGTGTGTGCGTGCGTGTGCGTAAAAGTTTGTTCTGCATCTCCTTCGTTTGTACCATGTATCGTCCCACTTCTACCTCCTTCACACGCAGCGTCATCATGCTGTTTGTTGTTTACGCTCTGGAATTGTCAACACACGAATCCACATTTGACTCACCCTCTCCTATTGTAATTCATGCATTTCTGTTTCATTCGTTTACTGGTCAGTCCTCAGCTACTCTGCTTTTTGCTCGCACACGATTGCTGTATTTTAGCTTTCTCACTCCGTTATTGTGTGTAGAAGTGACTCGCTAGTCCTCGATAGAATTCGCGAAGCATTTTCCTCATTTTATTCCCCTATTTCTTATCCTTGTCCATCCGCTCCTTTGTGGTTGAATCTCCACCATATTCTTAGTCATGTGGTACCTTCTTCTACTTAATCTGATATTTGTTTTCCTATATCTCACTATGCAACCACACGACGTCACTGAACTTGTTTGCCTGTCTGTAACCTGTTTATTGTGATTTCCTGGGGAATAACATTTCGTTCCACAGCCACTCCTTTTATATTGTCTGTATTCGATGCCCATCTATCGCAATATTTCAAAACCAGTTCTTTCGGATCTCCATTAACCACTCACAGTTGTTTATAGTCGTGGAATCGGTTTCGCTTTTTATTGTTCTTTCCCCCATTATTGTACCATAGCTGATGCGTATACTCACTTGAATTTTGGTTTTTCTTCTGCCATCGAATCCGCGGTCACTTGCCCACCGGCGTAGTTTGTCTCACTTTGTTCACACTTGGACTTCTTGTGCTCCGCATCACATGTCTCTCTAACCCTCTTCATTGCAATCTCTTGTAGTATTTTTCGTGTGCTCGCCACTGTTCACTTATTTTCTGAACTTGAGCGAACCGTGGTTTTGCTTCTTTAGCACATACTTAATCCCTCGTTGTGTACGTATATCTCCTAATGTGGGTATCCGAATGATTAGTCGCCATCCGGCAAAAAATGGGGAACAAGCATCCGTAAAACACTTCAAGACTCGATTCCTGTTGGTCTTTCTTTATTCCCCATAATCTGCTGGGAACACAACTGACAAACAGCTTCTCTGTTTCTCAAACGCCAAGGCAATTCGTGGATACAATCACTATATGTATTATTCCTTCCCGCCCATTCAGTCTTCATAACCATGCTTTATAAGTCTCCCATCAGGCATGTCAACGGCTTGTAATCAACTTACATAGCCCCAGTTGCGAGCACTTCTCGTGTGTGTGCTTGCACCCGTCTCGTCTTGACCAACCCGTGGGACCGTACTTTCGTCGTCCTTCAGGTTGTCGGTATGCACACCATGATCATTGTAATGCCTTGCGGCTAGGTTGTTGAACGAAATTTCTTAATGCACTTCCGTTGCTAATCGCTTAATATTACAGGGTGTTTTATCAATCTGGTCCGGAGCTACGAGCGGCTGCACTCAGGCAATGACGTACAACGGTACGCTGAATTGCTAACCGTCCAGTGGCGCAAATTGCTTTGCCGCCAGGGGTGAGATAGGACACAGAGACGCGACATGTGTGCCTACGATCGCAGAGCACATCGAGCTGTTCGGCTGTGAGAAGTGAACGTTAGCAGACACCACAGCCGCAATGAATGCGTCATGCCTCGACCGCAAGGCAAGATCAACGCACCGCAAGCCGTTCGGCTGTGAGAAATGGACGTGAACCAGACACCACATAGCCTCACTGAACGTGTCATGCTCCCATCGATTGGTAGTCGGCTTTCACCCAGGTGAAATGCTAGCAAAAGGGTTCCCTACGACTTGGTTAGTAGGTCGCTGTGCTAGCAATTGAGAAAAAAGCCTGGCCGTATGTGATGACCGGTTGATGGGCGCCGTATTGCTATTGCCACAAAAGCTGTTATCGCCTCATGACTGGCTTCCAACAAACCCGTAAGCTTTCATTAGACTGCATTCGCTGCAAAATGGAATCATACTGCCGGGAGCACATTGTAAGGTTACAGTCGAAAATTCACCCTTCATGGGTGCATAAAAACGAATTCTTGACTTGACGTGACAATGCTCTTAGATTTCTCTGCCTCGACGTACTGGGGGCACCATTAGACAGCACACAAACGTAGTCATGAATGCGACTATTGCCGTCACAGTCAGACAATTGCTAGTTGTATAAATTGATCATGCCTTCGATGGTGTTTCTCGTGTAAAATGGAGAATATACATTTATTCATTTGTTTACTTATATTTACATGGAATGTGTGAAATGTCATTAAACATCGACGAATTCGATGTTTGCATCCGATCCAACGTCCACCGAACGTCTCGTTCAGGTAGTCACGAACCGAATGTGCAGGTGCGCCATCTTGTTTCCACCAAACGTTATTCAGGAACCCCTCTGACTGCAGCTACAGAACGATGCTGGTCTGCAACATTTCCATGAACGAGGATGCTAAGAAATGTCAATTTTTAGTGCTGTTAAACGACAACAAACCGAACACACTTCTAGAAAAGGAAAAGGGCCCAGTAATTTTTCGACCAGTCAATCCAGCCCAGGCCATGAGCTTCACGCTATGTTGCACACGGGAAGCGCTACATTGCCGTGGGTTGGTTGTTCCTCAAACATGTTGCCTATTTTCGCCATGCAGAGAGCACGCAGCTTCATCGGAGAACAAAATTGGTTGCACGTCCAGATTGAATAAAAACAAATGGGCGAATTCCAGACGCTTCTGTGAATCTCACGCGTTTAACACTTGCACCTGCGGTGCACTGCGCCGCCGGAATGTTTTTTTCTTCAATATTCGATGCACAGCATACGGTTTCTTTTCGCAAGGTTGTACGAGTTGCCGAATGCTGAGATGGCTATTACTTCGTACTTCTTGCGCAACCACGCAAGCTGACACATCGTCCGTGACAGTGCGAGACCGTCCGCTTTGTTTGATGATGCAAACATCTATTTCCTTGGTATTTACTGACATTTCACACATTCCATGTAAATATAGGTACGTAAATGAATAAATGTATTCATTTTACACGAGAAACACCATCGAAGGCCTGATCTATTTATACAACTAGCAATTGTCTGACTGTGACGGCAATAGTCACATTCATGACTACGTTGGTGTGCTGTCTAATGGTGCCACCAGTACGTCGAGGCAGAGAAATCTAAGAGCATCGTCACGTCAAGTCAAGTCAAGAATTCGTTTTTATGCACCCATGAAGGGTGAATTTTCGACTGTAACCTTACAATGTGCTCCCGACAGTATGATTCCATTTATCAGCGAAAGCAGCCTAATAAAAGCTTACGGGTTTGTTGGAAGCCAGTCATGAGGCGATAACAGCTTTTGTGCCGATAGCAATACGTCGCCCATCGACCGATCATCACATACGGCCAGGCAGTTATTCCCAATTGCTAGCACAACGACCTACTCACCACTTCGAAGGGAACCCTTTTGCTAGCATTTCACCTGGGTGAAAGCCGACTACCAATCGATGGAAGCATGACACGTTCAGTGCGGCTATGTGGTGTCTGGTTCACATCCATTTCTCACAGCTGAACGGTTTGCGGTGCGTTGGACTTGCCTTGCAGTCGAGGCACGACGCATTCATTGCGGCTGTGGTGTCTGCTAACGTTCACTTCTCACAGCCGAACAGCTCGATGTGCTCTGCGATCGTAGGCACACATATCGCGTCTCTGTGTCCCATCTCACCCTTGGCGGCAATGCAATTTGCGCCACTGGACAGTTAGCAATTCAGCGTACCGGTGTACGTCATCGCCTGAGTGCAGGCGCTCCTAGCTCCAGCCAGATTAATAAAACACCCTGTACAGACGGTTTCTGCCTGACGTGTACTGAAGTACGTACGTGTTTCGGCCAGAGTCGATTTCTGTGACTGACTGGTTTGTGCACGTCGGAAAACCAAATGGTTTTCTCTCCCGTTCTGTTGTTCGTTTGGGTCCATACTTGCTATACTATGCAGTAATACACCATTGTTTTCTTGTCTTTATTTATACTGAACTATCGGTCTGGCTTTTTCGTATGTACGCACTTTGTGTTCTTTGCGACACAGTAGCTGAGGACTTTCCTACCTCTAGCTAACGTCTATAATGATGATGATGACTTTGGGTTCTTTAACCGTAGCGGAATTGCGTTTAGTCGACCGCTGACGGTGTCTCCATTATGCACCTGCATTCTCTTTACTTTTCAACCGGGTTTCCATTGCATTCACCTTATGTACCTGTCCTGAATCACCGATCGCCTTTAGTTGCTAATTGCTTACTTTTTTGTGTATGTTACTTTATGAATGTGCGCCCAGTTAACATTAACATAACTGTTGGCTAGAGTAGCCGTACGATATCTCTCGGGTTAGCGATTTGTAAATACCGAAACTCTTATAAACGATTGTTTTTAAGAGCTGGCGCTTCCTTTAGTTACCAATCGATTAAACGTTTTAAAGCCCCCCGTACGTGTATCTGAAATTTTGCTTTTTCCTCGCTACATTATTCGGACTGGTGAACCTTCGTATTGATGAGGAGACGTACCATTATACTAAGTGAAACTGATCACGCTGGTCACCTGCAGCTCTCCAGCCGGCTGACAGCCTTAAGGATCACAAACGTGCTTTGTACTCTGAGGGCGCGTGTTCGAACCTGCGTGAAGACCGGTCCATAGTGGCAATATTTTTAGCTCACTTGCGACCGGTGGTGGTTGCGCGGCAGTGAAGCGTCGGTACTGCGTACCGGCGAATTGCTGATTCCATTCCTTTCCTTCCCTGCAGCTCTCCTACCAACTTATCTTCGGCATAGCAATTGTGCGTTACGAACACTTTTTGTCCATCTGTACTACTTTTGAACTAGTGTTTCATCGCGGTTTATCAAGACGTCGAAAGAAGCCCTCACGTGTCTGGTGGCTCAGCTTGCATTGCTGTGTTTTACTACCTTCTGCCCTCGTCCTCTCCACTCGCTTGAGTCGGTTATTAAGAATATATATATATATATATATATAGCAACAGTCTATGAATAGACATTGAGCCATCGGAAACCATAGAACTCAAAACAAGGTACAGAAATAGTAAAAGAAAACACAACACATAAAGTCCATACTTTCGTCAGAGGGCGAGATACTACCCGGTTGCCCAAGCCGAAGTGGGGTGTTGACTTAGGGGACACCACCCCGAGTCTTTGGCTGAATAGCCTGCCCGCAAGGCAGCGGAGCGAATTCAGGGAATCGCGCCCATTGGGAGGCGATGACTGATTGCTCAGTTCATACGCCTTTCGTTTGTTCCTTTGTCAAACAGGGGTCCAATGCTCTCCAGAATTACAGCACAAAGTTTCTGGTATACAATGCTTTGCCAGGATGAAGCAAGGGGCAGTGACTTTATTTAGTGGCAAGTCACGCCCGCCCCGCCACAGTGTTGTTAAACGGGCATATGTGGCTTTTTATAGGGAGAACGCTTGCCAGGCGAAAACCCACCACGTTCTGGAACACTGCCGCCGAACGATTTGCTGGAACGGGAAAATCACGAATCACCCAGCTGGCACCACGAGGAGATTGTTTGGCAAGTCAGCCAGTTAAGAATGGAGTATTACATATCTTTAGAGTCTGGTTACCGACAGAAAATGAGCAAAAATGTTATCGAACTACGGGATATGCTCATCCATTCATAATGATTCATCTGCGGGCCGGTACAATCATATAAGGTTAAACTACCAAGTACTGGATAGTGATTGGTTCGGAGGTTTGTTCTGAACTTACTCGGTCAGTGGTTCGCCGCTGTCTCTCACACAGATTGATTGTGGGTTACGTAATCACAATGCTTGAGCCGATGTCAGGGTCAATTAGGCTGATGGCTGTTCGGCCAGGGCAGATATAGAGATTGAACAAACTTTTTGAGAGCACAGTGGGGATTGCAATATGCGAATCGCAATAGCCTCCACAGTGACGAACACCCTTAACCGCAAACCTTTCGATTTGGTCATTGGAAGCTGATAGATCCCAGTACAGGTATTCGGGAGGTTAATCCAGTAACCTGATTCGAGCAGATGAGACGAAATACCACTTGTAAGAACTCCGGTGCCACCGTTCACCAGCCATTTCGGGCTATGTTCTTTAATAGCCAAACAGCCATCAGCTTAGCCGTCCCCCTGACATCGGCTCAGGCATTGGGATTGCCTAAAC